GCCGGGGTCTCCCTGCTGCGGTCGGGGTGCGCCCTTCCGGGGCTCGGGAGCCCGGGAGAAGCAGAAGGGCCAAACCCCGCCGGAGACTGCGGTCAACTGAACAAAACTGACGAGCCAAGGACTTTTTTTTTTTGCAAGCCTCTGTCGAAATCCCGTTTTGAGAAGCATTCTTTGGAAATTCGCACTTGAAGAAGAAACTCGCACCCATAGGGTTTAAAATACCGACTTTATCTCGGTGATCACCCTGCCAGCTTGAGCGGTGTGTTTCCGACTCGGTTGAAAGCGCATTTCCTTTTCGGGGGCGTGGAGTAAGGGACGAGTAGTGCCTGCCAGAAGACCGGAGCTTGAGAAACTGGCGGTCTCGCTGATTAGTCACATACCACTGCTCGATTTTAGTTTTGTTGGACAAAACAGTTCGCTTATGTGGAGCAAAAGCCGTCTGTTCAGATCCGCCCGGCGCCCTCAGGATCGAAAAGTTATTAACAGTGCTAGGAAGTATTGTAAATACTTTTTAATTGAGACAGTTCCTGTGAATACTGTTTTAAAGGCCCCATAGAGAGTTTGTCCGAAGCTTTATCGACATTTATTGCCCGAGGTACACAGTGGTTTTCCTGAGGATCTGGCACACAGAGCAAAGGAAGGGAAGAAATATTTTCCAGCTTTAATTTACACTGTGAGTGTGTTTTCAATGAAATCCATGCCCTACAGTTTCCGGGCCTGAAATACATTAAGTACTAACTTCTCTCTAACTTTCAAGGTTTTATAAAGTGTATTATTTTAGGTTTACTGTAATTGGAGAGCTCCTGATCTGAAACTAAGCATCGGATTTAACGTGCTTTTTTTCTACGTCTTAGTACTTAGTGTGCATGCATTATTTGAAAAGGAGCCTGTAAGATTATTATCATTGAAAGAAATTCTAGGCTTTTGGATGTGTTAGTCTTTAGGATTCCTGTGTTTCTTAGAGTCTTATTGCGCATTTCCTGTTTGGTGGAATCTTCTGGGCACTTGAGATTGTGTAATTGTGTCCAGCAGCAAATCATATTGATTTTCTAGCTCAAGCTGCTTAAGTTATGTTGCAGATGCCACTGCGCTTGACGTTTTTCTCACGTTTTTGAAGTATGACAGTTTACATTCTAACAGGATTTTCAGTATTTTACATTCCAATATCGTTGACTTGCTAATTTTAAAAGATGTATTTGAAAGATGTATTTAATAGCTTATTAAAGTATCTCCATTTTTTGTTCTTTAGTTGACACATTAGTTGTTATAGTGTCAGGTTTTTCTTTTTTTCTTTGTTTTGCTTCCAATGATGTTTAAACCTTAATGGAATGATGTAGTAAATGAAGTTCAGGAAGTTCAGGTGAACTTTTCTAGAACTCCTTGTAAGTTTTCTTACTTTCTGGTGTGACCAGTTCTGCACCAGAACAGAAGATCCAGACCCTTATTTTTATTTTGTGGTGTGGGGATTGAACCCAAGGCCTTGGCACTGAGCTGCACCCCAGCCGTCCTCCCTTTTTTAAAATTTGAGATTGGGTCCTCCTGCCCAGTTTTATGACGAAGTGCATTAAGATAAAATCCATGTGTCTTTAGTGCATTACTTTTATGTGGTATGGAAGCCAGCAGTGTCTGAGAAGTTAAAAATACTTTTGTTAAATTTTTAAAAATAGTATATTGACTTTGGATAGAATTTATAAAGGTATTTAGTGAAAAAATCTCCTTTCTTTTCTTTTCCTGCCTTGCTACTCTTTTCCTGAGAAACAATCCCTACATTTCTTGAGAGTCTTTCAAAGAAAGGCAGTTTTTGTTTTTAGTCGCATTTTTACTAAAGGGATTTAAGATATAACCTATAACATGAAAGTGTGTGGTGGAAGAAAAGATAACATGATATATGGCCATTGACTTGGAATGTAAATTGATTTTCAGAATGAAAATAGCAGAATTTATATTAATTTAGACTCATTTGGTATTGTTGAAGTTGTTCTTTCAATTAGCATCTTGTCAGATACGATAGAAAACTTTTTTTTGGAACTTTGAATCCAAATGATTGAGGGAATTTGGAACCAAACCTGATAAGATTAAACAGGTTAGTGACATTGTTTTAGCTTGTGAACCGGTAAGAGGTATAACTGTAATGACACAAAAATTTTTTGTGTAACTTGGTGAACTGGACCTGAGGTCTGTTCCAAAAAGGAACCTCTGACTTTTTTTTTTTTTTTAAGGAAGGCAACATCATTGAAATATGCATTGGTTGCCTGATTTTTTGGGGGGGCTCTAAAGTGTGATACATTTTAAATTAAAAAAATGTAAGCCTATCATCTCCATTTGTACTGAGTACAGTTGTAAAAAGAACAAGTAGCAGCCTGTGTGAAAATCAGCTATGAGTCTCAAATATCAAGGAGTCAGACTAGAAATTTGAGAATGATAGGGTTTTGCAAAATACGCCTTTTTGGGGGGGTGGTACTGGGGATGAAACGAAATCCCTGGCCCCTTTCTTTGCCTTCTTTTTGTTTTGTTTTGTTTTGGTACCGGGAATGGAACTTGGGACCTTGCGCTTGAGAGGCAGAACTACTGAGCTAAATCCCCCGACCTCTTTGCCTTTTTTTTTAAAGGGTAAAAGGAACTAAACCAAGTCTTGCAGTTTTAAGGAACGCTGCATTGCCTTTGAGGGGAAATAAAGCAAAATTGTTTAAGAATACATTATTGCAAGCATTGATTTTTGTGGTTTTGGACAGAAGGGGAGAGTCCTTGTGGTGAGTTTAAGGAAATGTAAACAGGAACTTAAGTGCCTTTCCTTTTAGGGTACAATGTTTCCAGTTCTTGGTGTTAAGTAGAGGAGATAGGGCTTTGGAGGCCATAACATAGGAAGTGAGAATTGAGAACCCCTCTTAGATGTGTTCATTCATTCAGCAGTATTTTTTAAACGCCAACTCTGCCAAATAGTGGGCTATAGGTTCTTAAAATAAGAGTGCTGAACTTAGAGGGTAGAGGGTTTAAGGACAATATTTTATAGATCACTATGTTCTAGGCGTTGGGCTGTGTGCTTTTCTATTTATCATTAGCATATGAAGTGTAGAACAAAATTTTTAGTGAGAGGACTGCAAAATGTACTAAGAAACAAAGTCAATTTCCCTACGTGTTTTGTGGAACAAGATTGTTCCAATATGATTTTAAAATGAAGCTAAATTTTAAAAATTATTCGTGGCAATTCAGCATTTTAAATCTTTTTTTAATGAGCCAGAGGGGACAACATAATTTGGTGTGCAGAAATGACCTCTTGATTCGCGTACTTGCTTTGTGTTGCTAGTAAGTTCCATACTGATCTTTCTTCCCTTTATTTTTCTTTGTAACCAAGACTAAAGTAGGTGATAGAATGTTATTTGTGCTGGGGGGGGGTTGGATCAATGGTTCCACTGCCTGCCTTTTGAACACAAGGACCCCAATTCTATCCCTGGTACAAACAAAACAAAACAAAACAAAAAACAAGAATGTTATTTCTGCCAATCAGTAAGAAACATTTGCATGTAATTAATGGAAAATATTTTTATTATTAATGCAATAAGACATAAAACTTAAAGAAAAGAAAACTCAGTCAAGTTAGTTATATGTCCCTATTTTACTTTTCGAGTCCCATTTTCCACTGGCTCCCATTTAAAATAAAGAATCTTGTAAGTCTGTGGCCCCAGTCTTCCAGTTTAATTTCCTGATGTCAGGTCCAGTATTCTGATCTGGATTTCCCTCTGGCTCAGCCTGGGACATGACCTGCGCTGACTTTGGCTTTCATTGGCGTCTGCACAGATGGTGCTGAGCTCCTCGGTCCTGGGATTCTAAGGTGGATCTCACTGGGTCAGTCATCTCGTGTTGGTGTCCCCTGATATTCTTCCCGGATTTTGCCTTTATTTTATAAAGTGTTCTCATTCTGAGCATTACAAGTCAGTGGTCTCTAGTTCCTCGAAGGCTGATTTATTTTGATTTATGATTATTTCTATTATTATTTTTGGTGCTCAGCATCCACACCAC